CTGACACTCTCATTGAACTAAGTAGAGTTCATTTAAAAAGAAAAAATAATCAAATATTATGATATTATCTATAATAAAAAATAATTTAAATAAAAGAATAATTTAATTTTTAAAATTATATTTTGCATTGTTAGTTTGTGCAATGAGTATAAATCAATAAAATGGAATAGTTTTAATTAAATAAATAATATAAAATTAAAATAGTAACAAAAACATATCACTCTTATTTATATCCTTTATACTATTTCACTTGTATAAAGTGTAAACACATATGATTTTTAATTAAAATATTTAGCTAAGATATATTTAATTTAAAAACTAAATACTTATATATTTAATATGTTAGAGGCATTTTCATTAATATTAGTTTCTCAACAAGTCTTTAGATTTTTTTGGTGCAGACGAACTTTTCTCTTTAGTGGGATATTCGTGCATTCACACGGGTACCAATATGGTATGCGCATTTGTTTCCAAAATATAATAAAAGTAAAATCAATTTTTTTAAAAGAAATAATAAATCAGTGCCTATAATTCTTTCAATATATAAAAATATTTGAATCAATAACATATATGTTGTTTATATATAAATATTATTTTTGTTTTAGAATTATTGTCCAAAATATTTAAACCAATAATAAAATTGTTCTATTATTATTCAATATTTTGATCAGTAACTTTATGTTTCCGTTATAGTTTGATCAATAACTTCATGTTTCCGTTAATATTCAATATTTTGATAAGTAATTTCATGTTTCTATTAATATTCAATAGTTTGATCAATAACTCTATGTTCCCGATAATATTCAATATTTTGATAAATAATTTTATGTTTTCGTTAATATTCAATATTATGATCAATAACTTCATGTTCACGTTAATATTCAATATTTTGATTACTAACTTCATGTTACCGTTAATATTCAATAGTTTGATAAATAACGTCATGTTTCCATTAATATTCAATATTTCAATCAGTAAATTCATGTTTTCGTTATTATTCAATATTTTGATCAGTAACTTCATGTTCCCGTTAATATTCAATATTTTGATCAATAACGTCATGTTCTCGTTAATATTCAATATTTTAATTAGTAAATTCATGTTTATGTTATTATTTAATATTTTTATCAGTAACTTCATGTTCGCGTTAATATTTAATATTTTGATGAGTAATTTAATATTCCCTTTATTATTCAATATTTTAATCAGTAATTTCATATTTCCGTTAATATTCAATAGTTTGATCAATAATTTCATATTCCCGTTAATATTTAATATATTGATAAATAACTTTATGTTTTCGTTAATATTCAATATTTTGATCAGTAGCTTGATGTTCCTCTTAATATTTAATAATTTAAAAATTAAATTCATGTTCCCGTTAATATTCACTATTTTGATTAGCAACTTTATGTTCTTGTGAATATTCATTTTTTTATCAGTAACTTCATGTTTCCGTTAACATTCAATATTTTGATCATATTTTTAAAAGAAAGAGATATTTTTAAATTAAAAATAAATTAATTTTACCAAAATTATTTTATTGGTATGATACGCACACTTTTATTTTCAAAATATAATAAAAAAGACAAAATTGCCTAATATATATATATATATATATATATATATATATATATATATATATATATATATATATATATATATATATATATATATATATATATATATATATATATATATATAAAAGAAAAATAAAATAAGTTTACCAATTAAAATATTTAGCTAAGATATATTTAATTTACAAATTAAATACTTATATATTTAATATGTTAGAGGCATTTTCATTAATATTAGTTTCTCAACAAGTCTTTAGATTTTTTGGTGCAGACGAACTTTTCTCTTTAGTGGGATATCCGTGCATTCACACGGGTACCAATATGGTATGCGCATTTGTTTCCAAAATATAATAAAAGTAAAATCAATTTTTTTAAAAGAAATAATAAATCAGTGCCTATAATTCTTTCAATATATAAAAATATTTGAATCAATAACATATATGTTGTTTATATATAAATATTATTTTTGTTTTAGAATTATTGTCCAAAATATTTAAACCAATAATAAAATTGTTCTATTATTATTCAATATTTTGATCAGTAACTTTATGTTTCCGTTATAGTTTGATCAATAACTTCATGTTTCCGTTAATATTCAATATTTTGATAAGTAATTTCATGTTTCCATTAATATTCAATAGTTTGATCAATAACTCTATGTTCCCGATAATATTCAATATTTTGATAAATAATTTTATGTTTTCGTTAATATTCAATATTATGATCAATAACTTCATGTTCACGTTAATATTCAATATTTTGATTACTAACTTCATGTTACCGTTAATATTCAATAGTTTGATAAATAACGTCATGTTTCCATTAATATTCAATATTTCAATCAGTAAATTCATGTTTTCGTTATTATTCAATATTTTGATCAGTAACTTCATGTTTCCGTTAATATTCAATATTTTGATCAATAACGTCATGTTCTCGTTAATATTCAATATTTTAATTAGTAAATTCATGTTTATGTTATTATTCAATATTTTTATCAGTAACTTCATGTTCGCGTTAATATTTAATATTTTGATGAGTAATTTAATATTCCCTTTATTATTCAATATTTTAATCAGTAATTTCATATTTCCGTTAATATTCAATAGTTTGATCAATAATTTCATATTCCCGTTAATATTTAATATATTGATAAATAACTTTATGTTTTCGTTAATATTCAATATTTTGATCAGTAGCTTGATGTTCCTGTTAATATTTAATAGTTTAAAAATTAAATTCATGTTCCCGTTAATATTCACTATTTTGATTAGCAACTTTATGCTCTTGTGAATATTCAATTTTTTATCAGTAACTTCATGTTTCCGTTAACATTCAATATTTTGATCATATTTTTAAAAGAAAGAGATATATATATATATATATATATATATATATATATATATATATATATATATATATATATATATATATATATATATATATATATATATATATATATATATATATATATATATATATATATATAAGAAAAATAAAATAAGTTTACCAAAATAGTTTATTTTTTTAAAAGAAAGACATCAATAATGAATATTTTAATTATTCATATATTATCTATTATATTTTAAATTAAAAATAACTTTAAAATAAAATATTAGATACATAAATAATTAAAAAAATAATATATTTTTTTCGTGTTTGGATTCATAAATTATTTTAAATATATTTACTTTTATTTTCTGTAATTGTATAAAAAATGTAATAACTCATGCGTTCACACCGATTTTGGTCTGGTTACTCGTGCATTCATACGGTATTGGTGTATAACTCGTGCGTTCATACAAATTTTTATCTGACTACATGTGTGCTCACACGGTACTGATATATTACCCGTACGTTCACACGTTACTAATGTGTTACTTGTGCGTTCGCACGAATTTTGGTGTGTTACCTGTGAGTTTGCAAAAGTACTCGTGTGTTACACACTTTTGTTTTCAAAATGTAATAAAAAGTTTAATAAAAAAACCAAAATTATTTAACCAAAATTAATTTATTATTTAGTGGTGATATTCTTCTACAAATATGCCAACTATCCTCTCTCTTTGTCTTGGATCTCTCAAATAATAGAGATTGATTATAAAAATGACTAACAATATTGTCCATGACACAATATTATAATTCAATCTATTTAGAAAGTAGCACAAACAATATATAGGAAGCAATAAAACTATAATTCCACCATGATTAGTGCCACTTAGAATACTGAACCACTTAAAAAACTATAATCGGTTGACTATTTTAAATTAACAATTATTTAATTTACATACTAATTTTATTAATGTTTTGAATGCACACCACATATCCATCTATACCATTAGAAAGTTAGAAAGAGTCTATACTATCATCCTAAATAAAAGTCACACCACATCACCAACTATACTAGTAACAATCGAGAATCATGCTTAAAAAAATAGAAACACCTTATTTGTTGTTCAACCTCACACATTGATTTGAGATACATTTAAAAACCCAACTATATTTGATACAATGATAATAAATAAATCAGAAATAAAATTGATACATTAAAAATGATAATCAAAATTGTTCTAAACCATAATGTGTACATTAATGACGAGAGTGTGTACATATTACAATCTTACTTTTAAGATATCTAAAATTTCAAACCAAATAGTCATAAAAACAATTAATATGTTCGTATTTTAATTTATACATTAAATATGAAACATGAGAAGTGTCCTTGCCGAGCAAGTCCATAATCTGAAAGTTTTGTATTGAAATTCTCATCCAGTAAGATGTTGAATGTTTTAAAATTTCAAAATATTAGTTGCATTAGATATAATGGGAATCATTATTTTATTACTATCGAAATTGTTTAGAGATATTAGCCGGTGAAAAAGGCCGGATAAAAAAGACATCCAAAGCAGAAACCATGATTATATAGAATGAACAATGTAAGATGTAATAAAAATGCAATCCAAATTGATGTATGCTTGATGGCAGATTCAATTATATGCTCTAGTGACATGTCTGGTATTCATATTTATATAAGTGTTTCATAACACATATCAAACAAATACATTAACTCATATGATATGATCACATCAATGTACCTGGTTCCATCTTCTATCTAGCAAACTTTCGTTCAATATGAACCAAAACAAAATCAATGACACATACAAAACCAAATTATATCACAAAACAAAATATCCATATTCTTCATATCCCTTCTAAATCTAAATCAACATCAATTTTCCAAATGAGCAACAAAATTGAAAAAAAAAACCTAACACCGCAATCAAAATTAGCTCCGCAATAGAATTACAGCACAACAATCAATAACACTATAAATTAGCTCATCTGATACATTGATGAACTGCATGCAGCTGTGGCAGCCCAGCTGAAATCCCTTGGATTATAACCTGTCCATTTCTCTTCTCCTCTTCAGACATCACCGTAACATCCGGTAGCGACGAAGAGACTCGTTGTAGATATCCATTCACCTTCCTCCTTACTTATTCGCTGCCACGGTTAGGAAAACCATCAGCAGATTAAATTATACCAGATATTCAAGTGTCCTAGGAATATCCAATTTTGAAAGCAAGAATGGAGGACAATAAGATATACCGTGTACAAAAGTGCTATTACTAATACCTGAAACATGCATATACAACAACCAACCATTAAAATATGTTCAATTTCAGCAAACTATCAAGAGAAGTCCTAGAGCTTGGTTTGGTAGAGTCAATTATGATCTTCAAGATTTTGGCATTATGGTTTACAAAACCCAATCTTGCTAATCTAAAGTCTGCAAGCTTTACATTCCACTACTCATCCAGAAGAATATTTGAAGATTTGAAATGTTTGAAAATTATCTAATGTCCTTCACAAACAGTTAGTCTAATTGATGTTATTCCTCCTATCAAAACTAAAATGGAAGATCATCCTCCAAACAATGTCATTATATCCAGAAAGAATGGCAGCGTACCTGCAAAAAGTGTGGTTTCTGCTACTGATATTGACCTTGACAATACCCTCGATACAACATTCCGCATCAAAAACTGTCATTTTTTCGGATCTCCAAAAAATCGTCTCAAATAGTTCATTTATCGTTTGCAAATATACATGTAACATAACCAAGTTATAGTTATTATTCATCAGGATTATACAAGAAAGACAAAGGAACATTGAGTTGCACTAATTAAGCTTTTGATTTTTTTATTATACTTTTATTCACATTTTTCCTCTAACTAATTTCTTTTAAATTTTTTGCATTAAAGAACTAAAATAAATTATTTCTAACTAATAGTAATAAGTATCATGAATCGTTATTGTATTTCAGTATATATCCCTTTTGCATGGTCTTCTTTTGTATTATTTTCTTCTTAATTAGTACTTACTATTTGATCTCAGACTCAGCATTACTCTTTAATGGGAAGGTAAGGTTAGTCTGACGCCATGAGCATCTTATGTTGAATCTTTCAAGGCACCATTTGGATAAAAGGCTTATTGGAATGCTTATATCATAAACACTTATCGTAATTAAGTGTTAATGCACAAGTTATTTTATTTCTATAACAAATGATACAATACAATTAAATTATTTTCACATAATAAGTTGTAAGTTATCTTGAAAAAGGGAAAATTGATCTAATGTGATTTTAACATGAAAGCAATAGAGAAGCAGGCTACTTACATAAAACTGATCTAATGTAAAAGGGAAAATTGGCAGCATGTATATGACTTGGCAACATCAGCAGAAAATGTAAAGGAATTGATAAGAGCTCTATTACCTTATTACCAGCACAAAATGCAACAACAATGTAAATATTTCTAACTGCATCTTCAAGAACCAAAGATGCTTTTCAGTGTATTTCGTGTATGTCGCTTGAAAAACCAGGAAGCCACAATTTCTACAAGGTTCAAATAAAATGTCATAGATTCAAATGATAAAACCAAGTTAACAAATTATGTACGTTGAAAAGTGAAAACTGAATGGTATCTGTAACAAATTATTCACGCTGCATAACCCAAATGTTTCAAACACAAGGTATATCACTTAGAACTCAGAAGAGTAAAACCCAAAACTGAAACCATGTAGACAAACACATAACTAACTTATGAGATTTAAATGAAACCCTAATAAACCATAAATCTAATAACTTTATTTCAAAAGCCCTAAATCTCAAAAACCAGATTGAAATGAAAACATCAGATAAACCATAAGAAATATCAAAAACAACAACCATTTATGTTTCTTTCCAAACTTACCCCTTATTTTTTACAGTTGGTTCTTTCGATTTATATTTATTCCTACAATATTCCTACAAGAGTTACAAGATAAAAAAAATTAGAAAACATACAACTATTATTTGATGTTAAAATTAACAAATTAACCTGTCAGGTTTCTACCATTCAACAATTTATTCAATAAATATGAAAAATAGATCAAATCAAAAAGAGATATGAGATTTAGTATAACATCAGATGAACAGTTAGAAGGGGCAAGTAAGTACTACAACACATAGACTAATCTTCATAATTTTTGGGTTATTCCAAGGCCCTTTATCGGATTTGAGGCAACCTCTGTGTAGATGAAAAAAATAGTGAAAAGACCAAATACACGATTTTATTATGTTAATAGGAATGTAAAAGGGCCGGAGAAGGAGAAATGGTGATCATTCTTACCGAGTGATTCGAAGATGGAGAAACGGAGGTCAACGACGAATTTCTTATCATGATTGTTCAAGAATTCTTTCCAACCTCCCAGTTTACCCTTCATGCCTTTTTGTTGTACCAATTTTACAATACCAACCAGCACCCGTGTGCACTTGAAAGAATGAACTCGCTAGATTGTTTCCTCGTCCACGTATTAAATATCACCCCGCGAATGAACTCGAAAGCCATTGAAATTGGGCAGTGAAGAATGAAAGGGAAATTGAAAGATAAATGGAAAGTGAAATTGGATTATTGTAATTTGATAGTGGAATGGACAATCGTTTTGTAACGGTTGATTATTGCAAACGGTTACAAATTTGATCATGAATAAGAAGGTGAAAAGGGAGGTTACACAACTACAGAAGCGTAGAAGAAAGAAATAAATTTAGAACACTCAAATAGGTTATCCACGTGTCATATAATTGGATGAATGCGGCTGAATCTTTCTAACATACGACCTCAAGTGCATCTTAGAGCAAGACATACCGTCGTACTTGGCGAATGTCGGCACCTTGAACTTAGGAGTGATAACAATCCCGGCTACTAACCCTAATTCCTCAAAATCCAATCTGGGCACCCTCTGCAACTCCATAGCTGTCAATCTGTCTTCAAGGTTCTTATACTTGTCATCCGCTGGTGGATACTGTTGTTCTGAATAGTCTTCGTCTGCTTCCTCTTCCTCCTCTTCTACCTCAGATTCAGAAGGTACAATAACTCCTTTTCCCTTGCCAATCCCTTCGTCGGACGTTGATGGAAACTCAAGAGTCCTTCTAGCATCACCCTCAAATCTTCTTCCGAAAGTAGCTACCCCCAGTCTATTTTTCTTTTTCTTCTCTTTACTCTTCTCTAGCAGAACTTTGAGATTCTCCTGACCTTTTGCCAAGGTCATGAGGAGTTGCTGAAAATGTGAATTTTGTGCCTGTAGGTCCTTCACTGTTTGCTCCAAATCCATCTTGTTGAAATAAACAACAGAAAGATAAGGAATCCTGGCTTGAAGACCTGTTTGTGCATATAATGAATGATATGTTATTCATTAATGCATTCAAGGGTTTAAAAATTCAAATTAGTTGCAAACAAAAAGAACGCACGTCATAAATGCCCCATGGGCGAAATATTACAAAAATCTTAATGTAAAAAGACATTGCACATCCTTTTTGGTGCGATGTAGGTGTTAAGAGTTTCCTCCTCGTGAAGTCAGCGGGTGAGCTCTAAAACCTTCTTCTCACTGGCATAGAAGCTAGCTTCAAAAGTATCCCGTTCTTCTTTGAGTTGGATCCAACTCTTTCGCATTTCCTCCCATGATGTTGGCATGTCAGGATGTAGGATGGTGTATGGAACCTCTCCTTCCTTAACAGGCTCTTTAATCAAGGGGAGAATGTGAGGATATGGCATCATAAGATTCTGGGAGCGGGTTCGTACCCACTTGAGGTAAGGCTCAAGGGGGATGGAATTCTTGTGCCCCAGTGTCTTACTATCCACCTTGTTAGGCATCCTCCAAGCTCTGATGAACCTTTGTCGTAGTCCTTGCGCATCGTTGTCGAAGTCAAAAACTAGGTCAGGAATCAGCATGTCATGAGGGCCATCCCTCCGGGCATATCCAAATTGTCTCAAAGCTAGACAGGGGTTGTAGGTAATGCCTCCCATAATGCCAAGTAATGGGACATTAGGGAATTCCCCACAACGATCAATGATGATGACATTTTCTCTGGACCGAGAACACCAATGTACATCAGAATGTGTGACGGTCATCAATCGTTGTGACCACCTTAAACCCTGCTCATTCTTTAAAACTGACTGTGGAAGGTGAGAAATAAACCACCTTGCTAGGAGAGGAGTACAACACATGAGAACACCTCTTTTCCTCATTGTTCATGTGTAAAATGAGTGTAGGATATCCCCAAGCAATGTAGGTATATGATTCCTGGTTATGAAAATCTTGACAACATTCACATCTATAAGCTGATCAGGGTTTGGGAACAAGACCAACCCATAGATGAGGAGTGCCACAATCTCTTCAAAGGCTTGTAAATCAAGAGAGTTCCAGCAGTCTTGTGCCTTCTCAAATAGAAACTTTGCCAAGAAAACCTTGACACCACTTCTGGTTTCCCAATGTCCCTTGATGTCAGATGGTTGCAAGTGTAATGCTTGAGCAACATCTTCAGGCTTTGGCTCTTTTTCCGTACCGTTGTAGGGTAGTTGATTAAGAATAGGAATTCTCAGGAGTTGAGAAAATTCCTCCAAAGTAGGCACCAATTGGTAATCAGGGAATGTGAAACAGTGGTGTAGGGGGTCAAAGAACTGGAAGAGAACTTTCACCAAGTCTTCTTCAATGTTGGTGTTGACTAAGTTGAGGAGTCTACCATGTCTTTCACTGAAGAGAGAATTCTCTAGAATCCTGGAAGTAAGCTCTTTGAGTTGAGGAGGGATCCTCACAAGGTTGACTTGAATTGTTTTCCCGCGAAGAGTTTCCATGACCTATAAAACAAGAACAAAGATGAAGATTCAAACCCTTGAAATGGTTAGTGGATGCATATGATGCTTTATGATGTTCATGATGTATGCACAAACACATGTACAAGCAAGTCACACAAAACCCTAGTTTCAGGCTTGCATGAGATTTCATAGGTAAGTACCCTCTTGAGTTTAGTTGGCTCAAAACCTGTCCTATAAATAGTAACCGGGTTCTAAGGAGCTCAATATCATTGGATTGTTTTCTATGTTCATTGTTTTGGTTTAGCCACTTAACTAGCGACCAAAATATTTCAAGAAAACTACCCTCAATGAGTGTAGTATCGAGTATCTACCAACTTCGGACTGCACCAAAGCCGTTCATCTCACTACCCCTAATAAAAAGCCAAGATGGTCAAGTAAGGTTCTAGTTCATTAGTGCTTAATGACATCACTCAGCAGCCCCGTATTCTCTTTGATTGACTCAAAGGATACCGGTACTCACAAATATGTCGCACTAATATAGCTATTGCTTCAACCGTGTCGGTATACCCCGCACAGTTTCCACAACGTATTGCTATCTATGTATGTTTCCCAAATCCGGGTGGAGGATTTCAAGCCCAAACAAGAGAACCAAAATGTAAAGCAATCAAAGCAAACAATAATCATGAAAAAAAGGTGATCTAAGCCCTAAGGTTACTCCACTTTTAAAACTTAATCCCCAGCAGAGTCGCCAGTTCTGTGATACGGTGGGAGAACTGACTTGGGTTTTTCATTTGTGTTCGCAAATGTTTCGGTTTAGCAAGAGTCGCCACCGACTTTTTTATTTTATCCTAAGGAAAGGTCAAAAAGCACAGGAAAGACCTTTGAGATGTTTTCTTGGGTTCGGGGAGTAGATTATAGAAAGGGAAGGTATTAGCACCCTTTCTATCCATGGTTATCCATGGGCTCTTAGTTACTTGTTTAGATCACTTGCTTTGATTTTCAATTGTTTGAAATGATGCTTTGTGATTTTTGAAGATGTTTTGAAAAGAGGCCATTGTTGTGGCAACCTTTGTAATGATTCTTGTTTGAATGTATACAAAGGTGTTTTTGTCTTTTTGAAAGGTTTTTCAATGTTTGATAGTGGGGTTTTGAAATTGTGTTGTGAAGTGTGTTTTGAAAATAGCAAGGATGTTTTTTGCAAGTTTGATCAAGTAACTAAGAGTTGTCTACCCTATTTTTACTCGAAAATCTTTCTTATGTTTTTAACCCTTTTAACAGTGTTGTTTCACCATTGTATTGGATGAACAACCTTGTGTTAGGATATTAACGGGACAGGCGCGGGTCATCGTATAGACCATGATTAGCAATTTTGCAAAGTATCAGCATTTTTCGAGGGACTAAGATCATTTTTTGTAAGGCAACTTTTGAATAGCGTCATCGAGGGACTATGATCTTTTGATTTTGTTTGTTTTACCAAGATACTTTGCATGCGTAACATGGCCATTTTAAATTTAGGCAATCGAGTGGAGATACCTTAAGGGGTGTTCGTGTGCAAGTGTGTTTTATTGCATACAAGAGTTTATCTTTGAATTAAGATTTTCTATTTCATTGATTTTATCTTGCCATACATATCCTAATTACTAGCATTTATATTTGAAAGCAATAAAAAGCAAAAATGTAAAATCCTACGCTATTACAGCAATTAGGGGGTGGGGGATACATATTTGTACATAGGGTGGTTCAACGAGAAAAATAGATAAGAAATAAAATAAAAAAGGCAAGATAGAGAGAAAGAGAGAGAGAGCCAGCACGCTGCTGAGAGGAAGTCAGAAGTTCTGACTTAGGCCTGCTGCCAGATTATCAACCTTTTGGTTAAATTGTATGAGTCAAAACTTCTGACTCTGGCACCTGCAAAACAGAAACCTGTTAGTGGGAAAATCAGAAGTTCTGACCCCCATGCGCTGCAAGACAAAAGTTTGTTAGTGGGGAGATCAGAAGTTCTGATCCTGCTGGAAATACAATAATCTTCAGAAGTTCTGGTATTATTGACAGTAAAACAGGCTTCAGATGTGCTAACGTCAAAATCAGCACTTGGCTTCTCCCTGTGCTAGTCAGAACATCTGCAGTTTTGTTATTTTTCCAAAAAACAGAAAACATGTTTGGGACAACTTCAACAAATGTCAAAGTGTTTCAGGAGACAGAACCAACAAGGTCACAGGCAGGTTCTACACTGATTCACTTCATACTTAAACATTCTGAGGTATGAAGATCCTCAGAACACAAACAACAGCAATATGATATTTACATTATGTTTATTTGAGCATGCAAAGCTGATGATGCTTAGCAGCGTGATGAAGGTCAGCAGGTGCTTACCTGGCTGTTGGAAAAGTTTGTGAGTGAGAGCTAGCTTTTAGCTCTGATGGTGTTCTGGACAGGTTCTTTTTTTGAAGGGGTGGATGGAGAGTATATGTGGTCAGAAACTATAGGGGCGTCTTTCTTTAATCAAGAAGCAAACTGGGTACAAATGAGGTTTTGAGACAGGAGATTCAAAGTTGTGTTTGAGGCTCTTGAAACACTAAGATTTTTTG